TATATAAATATAATTTTCAGGACATTTTGATATAATTAAGACGGTCTCTAAAAATAATTTTATTTTTATTTTAATTATTGTCAGTTTCAAAATTATTATATCTAATTTGTCATTAAAACATGGTATAATTAACTTAAAATTTATTAGTTTTAAAATTTATTCTGACTAAAAATAAAATCAAAATTTTTACATTAAAATGAGCATTAGAATATTCTAATTAAAGTGAATAATAAAATATTTATTGTAAGAAAATAGTAATATATAAATAAGAATTAAATGTTATTTTTAATTAAAAATAAATTAAATGAACGTAAAACTTGGTACCGTAAAGAAATAAAAGTTCATCGGGAAAACAATAAATACTTTCGCATATAAAAATGTAGGTCCCTTGACTGACCTCTTAAGAGGTAGGTAGCATGTGTGGTAGGTTGGGCATGGAAACGAGCTCACCGAACCCGTTTAGCATTTTTTTTATATATTATATTTGGGGCATTTACATTGCGACCACACAATTCTCGTGTATTCTCTAACACCTAAATATTAATATTTTAAAAAAAAAGCTGAAGTTTTTAGTTTATATTTAAAATATCATCATCATTATTTTTCTACGAAAATAAAATATATTTTTGGGCATAAATTTATAATAATAAAATTTTATAAATATAAAGTATTAGATATTTAAGTGTACAAGAATTGATGAGGTATGCATGTAAGACTTTCATTACATTATTATCATTAACTTCTTGTTTAATATTTTATTTTAGAAATTTATTTAATTATTTAATTATTTAAAATTTATAAAAAAAATTGCATTTATTTTAGAAAAAGTCATAAGCATTCATTTATTGTATACATCATAAGATCTTAAGTAACTTTAAAATACAACAAAATGATATTATATTTTTTTTATATTTATATATTTTATGGCGATATTATAAATTTTCAACAAATATATAAAATATAAATATTCTGATAAAATGATTTCAATTTTAAAACAGAAAAATATAGATGGCTTTGTTGGATTCTAGATTGTCTTTCGGAAATGCACGTCTCAAGAGTTGGAGTCAATTGAATAAGATTGTGCGAGAGAGAGAGTAGAGCAATTAGGGAATTTCAGGCAGAGAAATCAGTTATTTTATTCATCTTTTGACCCTCTATTTATAGAGACATATTTGTATATTTATAGAAAGAAATGAACGGTTATGAAACTTGCCCTTATGGCAATTAATATGCTAATTTAATATTAGATTTGCATCACAAATTAAGTGTATTGCAATGACAATTAGCTGGTTGACGTGTTTGAGTTCAGTCAATCGAGGCGACCAGTCACATGACGATCGATCCTACAGATGTAAAGCCAGACAGTCGACTGGTTTTGACCGGATGTCCTTGCAAGGTGTTTAGGTTAAAGCCAGTCAGTCGATTGGTTTTGACCGGATGTCCTTGCAAGGTGTTTAGGTAGTTAGGACTATAAGCGCGATCAGTCGATTTGTTTTACTATTTTACATTTACACTTTTGAGAATTTTAAGTCAAAGAAACGTAAGAATCGACATGAATCCAGAAGAAAACACAAAGATTTCATGAGGTTTGACAAATATGTCTACGTCCTCGGGAGCACAGCGGTGGCTTTTTCTTCATTTCAAAAAAAAAAGTACAAGCTTACCTAGGGATACAAGCAAGACACATATATATATAACTCTAAAGTACAATATGTAATTACAAAATTACTCATGTACAGTACCGCGGGGACGTTTCCCCTGCACCCTCAACCCACATAACGAACCCCCCCCTCCCCCCCCCCCCCCCCCCTCCATGCCCCAAAACCCTCCCCATCCTCCATCGACTACGCTCGCTCACTTGCTTTGCTCCGCTGACTCGCACTGTTCAGCTCCAAAATTTGTCTCTTATCTGGTATAAGAGTCATACCTAACAAATCTCCACCTTGGCGAATATCCAGCCCTTTAAGAGAAAGATATCTCGGAGCTTCATGATGCGATCAGATTTAGCGAGTAAATTTTGTAAATATTTTTCAATATTACAAAATACATACGACAAATATAACAATTAATATGCAATATAATCCCAACAAAAATACCTTTTTATTAAAATATTTTATCTTTAAAACTCTTTTTAAACTATCAAATTCCCTTTAAAATCAACGCAAATATATGTATCACTCAAGTAATAAAGGGCTCTAATGGAGTCCTAGATACTGATCCCGCAAGGAAGTTGGAAAAACCTATAAGTAGATTCTTAAAATTATTTTATAACTTAAAAATTCAAAAATAAAAGTAAACTGTGAAGTTTGAATATTAAATACTAAAGTAAATGCTATATAATGCAGTTGAAAGAACAAAGTTAACTGACTTAAAACTAAACTTTCAAAAATAAAATTATGAAAATTAAATAAACTTTTTATTGGCGGAAGATTCAAATTTAAGAAATCATCTTTTCCTTTTACAATGAGTATATGGATTGTGAATAAATTAAAATCAATTA